GGAAACCTTTCTTGTCTGCTCCCAACATATGTTGTAACACTATGTGAAAACACTCTAGATCCAACGGCACAAAGGGGACCCAGACCATAGCAATCTACCTGCAAACACAACTGCCACAGGCAGCCATCACCTCTCAAACAATGTGTCAGCTTCTGTGTGGACAGAGTCTCAAGCCTAGGCTTTCAAAGACTTGCTATTATCTGCCAGGCACCCTCTAAGGCAGATCCACAAGTGTCAATGTCACCTAGTCCAGCAACAACATGTTTTTCATGGTCATTCCAGTGCTGAAAAATGCAGAAGTGAGCCCCAGAAGGATACAAATGAAGCTGGTGACAGAAGGTTATCCTTAACTTGCCATGCAACCAAAGGCAGTTTCCTTTAAGATATCTTGAATATTGTTTCTAAGTAAATGGAGGTCAAAAGGTCTTTTTAGAAGAAAAGCAAAAACAAAGCAAAAGAGCAGAGTATCAATCATCCAAGTTGCACTTAAAGAATGAGATATGTCCATTAACACACAAGGGTGTTTAACCAGCCAGAGTGAAGCGTGCAATTAAAGCAGCTGCAAAGTGCTCTCGCTTTTGGAATAATTCACTCACAAAACATGAAGTGGTAAAGGCTGTCTGAGCGCTTGAGTGCTTAGTCAGGGCTCAGTCACTTCACTCTTTACAAGCTAGCTCACACCAGCCAGGTGCCCAAACAGCTCTGAGTGAGACATCCAGATGTGGATCCTCAGAGATAAATCAATGAAAAATAAGAGGTTATCAACTTTAAGGACATGTCTTATTTCAAAAATGCCACAGAGCAAGACCTATATTAGCTAGGCATGGAGGGGCCCACACATTTAGTACCAGCTCGGGAGGCAGAGGCAGAGGCAGGTGGGTCTGAGTTTGAGATCTGCCTCATTTATATACTGAGTTCCAGGATAGCCAGGGTGGAGAGGGTGTTTGAGACTGTCTCAAAACAAGATTTATTAGCTTTTATAATGACGTACTTTATTTAAACTGAGAAAATACACCATCTCAGGCATTGGTGCGTACATAAATTTGCATGTGAGTACATGCATGTGAGCACCAGCCGTGGGACAAAAGCAGAGGTCAAAGGGCAATTTGTGGGAGTTGCTTCTCTCCTTCCACCGTACTCATGAGGTCCACGGCAGGCTTGATGACAAGTACCCCCCAAACTCACCGAGGATCTCAGAAGCCAGGTACCTTAGCTGTATCATTCACTTTAATTTTCATAGCGTCTCACGCTGAAAAAAACTGAGGTTTAGGGCGGCCAAGCAACTTACCCACAGTCACACAGCTAGGGGCAAAATCAGTTTTCAAATCTCACAGGTTATAAAACACCACATATGCGATGGCTGATTCGGATTTACTGGAGGATAGGTAAAACCAATCTACGGTGCTGCAAGTAAAGTCTCCAGTGACACCGCCCTTCAGGGTGAGCACGGTTAGAAAAGGGGCACAGAAGCCTAGTGAAGCAGCTCAGGTCCCTATGCTTAACACAAACAAAACTTCACACTATGCCTCATTAACTGAAAGGAAAACCTCAGCTAACAGACTCCAAGTTCATGTTCCTAACTACCTTACCTTAGCACAGCTCAGGAGCCTTGCTATAGTCTTAGAACTGATTACCATGCTTAATAAGTTTGTTTCTTAAGGGAAAAGAAAAGAATGTCTAGTAAGCAATATACATTGTAATCACACCAGAGCCAAGGCTAGAAACAAGCCTAGTTTAAAATGTAACAATGAAAAGTGGCAAGTATCAATTTCTTGACTACTGGGAATTTCCCTACCGAATTGGGGGGGGGGGAGGGGAGATTAAACCCTGCTGGAGAGAATGTCTAGAGAGAAACAGAAAATAACTTAAATAACTTTTTCTTTCATTTACATAAGGAAATGAGGACACTTAACAGTACATAAATGCTAAAATGTGCATTATACTTTAACCAGATACAATGCTGGCTCTCAAAGAGTTTGGATCTTGTTACAGTAATTAAGCCATGCCAAGCAAACAAAGCAGGCAGCAAAAGTAAAAAAAAAAAAAACAAAAATAAAACCTCTCACAGAAGGGGCAGGTGAAAGGAACAGAAAACTCAGTAGGAATAACGTTTCCTAGTAGTAGCTGCACCCGGAACAAATCCTCCACAAACAGTAAGTGCCTCATGCTTCCCACTCAGGCGCTGTTCAGACTGGTAAACTTCTCCAGCAGTGGGTAATGATGAAATCATTACATCAATTCTCAAAAAGCCTCACCTCACACATGCACACACCTCTAACCCAAACAGTAATTGCCTCTCCAGAGAGGAATACATTCATCCTACCATTTGAATATATTCATCAAGTGCTCACTCTTGTCCAGATTAGGTAAAAGAGACAGCCAGAGAGCTACATCTAGGGAGGGCAAGGTGCGGGTGGGCTGGGGCTATGCAGTATCTCCTTTACAGATGACTTCCGTTGTTAGGAAATATTTATTGCTTTTAAAAGAAGTGACCCTCATTCAGTTCATGCTTTAATCAGTAATCACTAGAAAATGTCAGACAATTGACCACAATGAATTTTGACCCCAAAGCAATTACAGAAGACCAAAAGAGCTCTATGATCATTTCTGAATGTTGGTAATTTATGTACTACTATTTACGTGTTATAATAGGTTGCATTACCAAATATTAGCTTTTAGACCAACCAGCATCATTTTAAGGTTGGGCAATAATGTTTGGATCTTGTTTCCTAATATAACCCTTAAAAACCATGCGCATACACTTGAACAAACAGTATACGGCAAAGTCAACAGTAAATTACCGGTTCCCTCTTTCCCTTTTTAGCATAACTGTACTACTTTAGAACAAGGGAAATCTAAATAGTTTTCAAATTGTTTTTTGGTTTTCCGAAACAAGGTTTCTCTTTGTAGTCCAGGCTGGCCTTTTGAACTCGGCGATCCATCAGCGGCTGCCTCTGAGTACTGTGATTAAAGGTGTGTGAACCACCATGTTCAGCTTTGAATGATTTTTTTAAACAAGTATATATTCAAAACTACTAATCATCTCTATGCTCAGGCCTTCAAAAGCAATGGGTTTGGGGGAAAGCAATTCATAAGCAAATTATGTTTTTCTCAAAGGCTACCTCTCCCTTAGGTCTCAAAAATCTGCTCTCTCCGTCTGTCAAGCTTGGGTAATTTCAGGTTGGACAAATCTGACAAATCTGAACGGTTCTGCCAGATCACTGGTTTTTGGCAAGGGTAAGCTGAGGCCAGCAGGAACGTCATTATGATGTCTATAAGCGCTTAAGCATCTTACTTGTTCTTAAAAACAATTTTACTGTTCAAGTATCCCATTCCCGAAACTAAATAGAGGAAACAAGCCTCGTGCAGAAAAACCAACTTGTCATTTAACAACACGTGGCAGAAACAAGACTAGTGAATTCTCTGCTCTTAAGTTTAGCCGAGAATCAGGCATTTCTTTATATTTGCCATCTACACAAAAACACTATATTAAGAATGGCAGGCTGAGTCCTGAAGGGGAAAGCAGTATTCCACGCTGAGAAAGGCGTTCCAAGCAGATCTGCTGATAACACATACGTACGCACTGCAAAAGGCTGAAATTACTCGGGCCAGTTCTACAGGGCTCCCGCACACTTCTTTGGTCTTAAAACCTAAGTATAAAGAGCTCTAGGACCAGCATAAAAACTCCCCGGTTCCATCGGCTTTCATAATCTCTATTCAAAAGAAACAGAAGTTAAACTAGAACAGGCGGAAAGTGACCGGCCTGCCCCTGAGCAGGTCCCCTCTCGGGGTGCGCGGTCTGAACTCCACAGAAGTGCGCTTGGGCTGGGCGCCGGTCCCGCCCTCCTAGTTCCACTCAGGTTCAGTGGCCTTCTCATTAACCATCCCATCACTTTCCGAGGCACAAATAAACACCCTGGTAGAATCTGTAATAACATGAAGCCCATTTTCACTCACTGGCTTCGAAACCTGGAAAAGCTATGGCTTGCACGGGGGGCGGGGGCAGAAGAACAGGTTTAATCATTAGAAGCAGTTAAGTTGGAAGTGTTGGGACGACCACCGCAGGCAGGGGAGCGAATGCCGGCCACCCTGTATTTGGGGCAGGAGCGAGTCTGGGACCAACGTAGGTTATAAAATGTGTGCATTACTTTTCAAGATGACCTCGCACGCACGATGACACTAGAGAAGAGTCTCCACTGAGCTTCCTTTCCACCCAAGACCCAGGATCTCAGAGGACTCTAGGCGAGTGCATTTAACCAGGTGCTAGGTGTTACGTCCCCAGAAGGGTCCCCGCCCCACAGGTGCGCCCACCTGCCAGTAGCAGGGGGAGCTCCCCAGGCTGTCCAGAGTCTGGTTAATCATTCAACGCGGGCGGCGTGGAATATTTTTTTAGAGGTCAACGCGAAAGGTTCTCCCGAAGTTTCACAGAAACCAGTCTTTGGGGACCCGAGATAACAACGTCAGCGGTTGGGGGTACAAAACGGCAGCCAGCGGCTCACAAACACCTGATCTGCCCCTGCGGCACCCGAGACCGGCGCAGTGCGCGGGCGGGGCAGCACACCGCCCGCGACGCTCCCCCGCCGCCCAGGCCCGCACTTCATGCGCGGGGTGCAGCGCGGCTCAGGGTGTCGCTGCCCTCTCCCTGTGGGTACAGGAAGAGCGGAGGCCGAGCAGGTGAAAAGCTGGGGAGGGAGGTGGAGGCCCGGAGACTGGGGAGAAGGTGAGGAGGCTGTGAAGCAGGGGAGAAGGACCGGGAGGTGAGGAAGCCGAGCAGGAAGAACGGACACTGGTGAGGGGATCCGGGAGGTGAGAAGGCCAGGGAAATGATGTGCGGAGGCCAGAGAAGTGAGACTGGGGGCGGTGAGGGGAACCCGATGGAGCGGATGCGCAGACACCGCAGGAGCCACAGAGGAGCGGCGGGAGCGCGGGGCGCCCACACCGGCCGGAACTGGCGCGGCGGGGCGGGGACGCAGGGCCGGTGCCCACCCACCCGGCCCTACCTTGTCTAGGGACACCTCCAGCTCGGCGGGGCGGGGCGGGAGACCGCGGCCGCATCCACGTCCCAGCCGCGCTTGCGGCTCAGCCCCGCGACCGCCGCCGCTCTCGCTCCATGCGCAGTGCGCGGACGGGCGGCCCGGCGGGGTCTGGGCGGCTCCGGCTCGCCTCAGCTCCAGCACTTGTTGCCGCGGCGGCAGCTGCGCCTCACTCCCAGCCCCGGCTCCCGGCACCGCCGCCGCCTGCCGCGTCCCTTCGGTACCGCCCCCGCCCGACTCTCCAATCACACGCCGCGCCACCGCGCGCGTCACCGCCGGGACGGCCGCGCTCCCGCCCCGTGGCCCAAGTTTGGGAAAGGCCGAACTCGAACCCTCCCGCCAGTTGGCGCCCAGGTCCCGCTGGGATTGCTCCCCGGGCCCTTCCCTAGCTCTCCGCCCCTCGTTGCACCGAGAAAACCCAAGGCTACACTGGAGCACGCGGTCTCCAAAGACTACACGCCCCCCCACCCAGGAAGTAGCCTCCCCCAGAAAAACAGCAGAGACTTGAGTCCCAAATCCTGCTGACATCCAGGGTCTAGTCTAAACTCTTCAGCTACTAGGGCGTGGCCCTTGGTGAGAATTTTCCAGCCAGCGTTGGCGTGTGGCTAAGCCTAGACAGCTCCGTGTAGCTGGTGAGAGGGATCCACCAGGGGAGGTGAGGAGAGGGAACCCCAAGTGCACCTGACCTTTACTCTCAGCGTACATAGTACCGGCAGCCACTTAGATGCTCAAGGCCTGAGGGTGGTGCCTGTTTGGCTTCTTCAGACCTTCAGGTTGTGAAGCCATCAAAGACATGATGAGGTTTCCACGTGGGTCCACTCGCGTCTCAGGAAGCCAAGAATGCAAGATGCGGGCGGCGCTGGGTGCGGAGTCTGCACTGCAAGACTTCAGGAGTTGGGCTTAGCAAGACATCTGAACTCTGAACCCCCGTGAAGCTGCTGGACTGGGCACCAACCACACCCAAGAGCGGATCACGCGGGACACGGGACGCTCCCCCCTCACCCAACCCAGCGCCTCCGCAGGCTCCCCAGAGCGCTACCTGCCAAGGTGAGGCCCTGGGAAAAGCCGGCGAGACCGGATGGAGAAGTTGCTCTAGTTTGTAGAGCTGGGTGGGCCGGCCTAGTCGGCACGCCCTCAACACTAACCTAGAGCCGGGTCCCCATAACCCGGGGCGTCCATCCTTATCGTTGAGGCCTTCGATTGACCCTCTGGAGATAATCACACTGAGAAGTTAACACTCCACACCTGTTTGCCTTTTTGCAAAAGGCTGTCAGATGAAGTTAGCCAAAGGGATGCCATTGACTTTCGAGCACTATGGATTGAATTTCAGCCAACTTGACCACGACCACGAAGTGCTTACTCGCAGCCGCAGAAGTAAGTGCGAGTTGTTTTGGGTGCGCAGAGCCACGCGTGTAAGGTCATTCAGAAAAAGGAATTCTGAGTCTGTGGCTCTGGAAATGTTTAGATTGGCAGTCTGCAGACCGATCTGTTTTTATGTTTGTCACAACGTTCTCAAAACAAACAAAAAAACAACTTGAATTTTTATCTATTCATATGAACTGTTAACCTGTCACTCTGGGCAAGAAAGGAAGAGACATTGTATACTTTTCTTGACTCTGATGGATTTTTCCCCCACGATTATATTTATAATTCGGAAAGCCAATAAAAGAAGCAAATTAGAAGTTAGGTCTGTGTATTTGATTAACTCAGACTGCCGAATTGATATTTAAATGTTGTGAGGAGACAAAGTTGGATTCTTGATGGGCATTTTGTTACTGTATTTCCACTTAAATGGCTCTCCGTAGCCACAGACATTGCTTTCAAGGATTGCTAGGCAAGAAGTTTTGAGTAAAGTCAGCTGGCAAGCAACAGGGAAATAAAGCTTGAGTCTTCTCAGCTGCCAAAAGCTGCCGTTGAGGGCAGCTTGAACTGTGCCATCGAGCTTCCACTGTGACTTTGGAAAAATAACTCAAATGTTGGATTCCACACCCACTTAGCTGTCCTGCTTACTCTTAGGTTCCGAGGGGTTCATCATCAGTAGACAGAGATCATACATTCAACAAATGTGCTGTCCAACCTAGGAGCAGAGGACCAAAGAAGTGCTTAATAATTAAATTAAAACTGTTTCATTACAATTATGCTATAGACCAAAAGAACTGTAAGAAGATAGGACCATTTTGGGGGTGCCCAAGAAAAGTGCTTAGTTTTTCTATTGCTATGGTAAAACACCATGACCAAAAGCAGCTGAAGAAGAGAGGGTTGATTTGGCCTACAGTTCATCAAGGGAAACTGAGGCAGGAGCTGACACAGAGACAATGGAGGAACCCTGTTTACTGGCTTAGCCTGCTTTCTTATGCCACTTGGGATGTGCTGGGCCCTCACACATCAGATGTAAAGGACAAACAAACAAACCTACAGACCTGTGTACAATCTGATGAGGGCATTGCTCAGTTGAGTTTCCTCTTCCCAGATAAGTCTAGTTTGTGTCAAGTTGACAAAAAAGCAACCAGGACATGAAGTTTCTACCTGCTTCTGGCTATAAGGGGGAAGTTATAGAAATAAGCAGAGTTTGGATTTTATTCAATGAGACATTTGAAGTAGAAATTATATTCTAAAATTGGCATTGTCATTCTCTGCCATATGAAGGAGAAGGGGCAGCCTGGAGGATGTTAGTCTAGACAGCAGTAGAGAATGAACACCAACCACAAAGACTTAGGCAATTGCCCAGATGGTGAGGAATCCTGGAAAAGTCCTAAGTGGTGCAGCCTAAGATACATTTCTGCATTGGGGAACCCTGCTGAGATTCCAGCTTGGCCAGGGTAGGTGTGAGATGTCCTGTTGAGCAGTGTGTGCTAGAGTAGCTGGTGTCCCTGTGGCAATGAAATCCATAAGGTATTCAAAGGGAACTTAGGGGTAGATAAATCAAGAGGGACACGGGCAGGGTGTGCTAGCTCACAGAGGGACAGGAAGACCAGGCAGGGAGAAAAGTCAATCAGCAAAGTGAGCAGACACAGTGGGGATGCAAGAGGAAACAGCTCTTAAAATGGCAGAGACCCACGTGTGATGTGCTTGCTTTAGTGGCTTTGATGATCTTGGGACTTTTGCAAGTCATGACTGGAAGAAAAAAAAATGGCCTAAGGAGTAAATGAGAGATGGAAAAAGTATGAACGGGAAGGAGAGAAATGATATAATTATATTTTAACTTTTAAAAATTGAAGAAAAATCCCACACAAATAAGAGTAAGAGTTATCATATATATATGTATATATGTGTATGTATACATATATATGAAATATATTCTATCATATATATTACTTATCACATTTCTATCATATATATATATATATATATATATATATATATATATATATGTGTGTGTGTGTGTGTGTGTATGATAGAAAGTCACTAAGTCTAAGCAACTAATTTTAACTGTGAAAAGTAAAAAGAAATAGCCAGAGGCCTGGAGAGATGGCTCAACTGTTAAGAGCACGTGTTACTCTTGTAGAGGACCCAGGGTCAATTCCCAGCAACCACATGGTGGTTCAGTTATCCCTAACTCAAGTTCCAAGGCATTCAACACCCTCTTCTGACCTCCACGATACCAGGCACTCATGTGGTACACAGACATATATTCAAGCAAAACACTCATACACTAAATCTAAAACAACAGTTGTCAGAGAAGAATGTTATATCAGCCATGGGTTGTGATTTATATGTTTGTCCTTATTTGTTGGATACAATAACTTGGGAGTTCTTAAGTGCAGATGGGAAGGAGCCTATAGAGAAGAGGAAGGTACAGCAAGGCAAAGACAATAGGTAGCAAAGGTCCTGTACCCAAGGTGGAGGAAAGGCTGAATGCATGTGAAGGAGCCTCCTTCTATTATAGCAGGAAGAGGCTTGGTGTAGAGCCTCTGCACCTGCTGCCACAGGAGGCTAGAGTTGAGGCCAGGACTGATGGAGATTTTTGAAGAGTGGGGAAAAGTTTCACTCAAGTTTCCACAGAAGGTTTAAACAAATAGCAAAGCAGGATAAGCTGGTCAGCGTGACATTCCATCTGAGGTTAGTGGCTGTGGCCCTCCAACAGCTCAGCACCCACTCTCCTCATGCAGGCTCAGCCGAGGCAATTGTTAGAGCAGAAGAGCAGAGAAGAACCTGCTCCACAGTGCCAGGTGGCCAGAGAGAAAGGACAAGACATCAAGTCACTCCAGAAGGGAAAGAGGTCAGGTCTGAGATCTGGGTGTGCAAAGGTAAACTTTAGGGCCACAGTAAGCCAGAAAGTGATGGCGCAGGATAGAGGTGAGTGCCTAGGAGGGAATGTTAATACCAAGGCTGAGCTATTAAGTGTCGAGGTTAATGGCTGGGCCACTGGTGTGACTGAAGTAATCTAGGATGCGAGCAGGAATCAGGAATGCCTTGTGAAGACACCGAGCCAGGAGCTAAATTTCTAAGAGTATTGCTCTGGAGATCAGAAGATGGGTAGCACCAGAAAGCGAAGGAAATATGGCTGGATGTCAGTCTTCTCCAGAGGATAGTGATGAGATCAGGTAGAAGGTTCGTCCAGCCCTTGGAGAACGTGGGTGAGAGCCAGCAGTGTCATCTCCCAGCCCTGCAGGGGAAGCAAAATAGGTGTTTGATTGTGAGTGCCAGCTGCTGTTGGGGATGGGTGCACAGTCTCAGGCACAGACCGGCACTTGGATGAGACAGCCTTTCATTCACTTTGCTTGCTGAAGTCTGCAGTTTCCCAGGGATCGTGTGGAAGGATGTGAGCTCAGCTACTTAGCAGTAAGTAAGGCACAGGAAGAACAGAGCACTTCACAACTGGAGCGATAAACAGACTCTGGAGAAATGAAGATGAAAAAACCAAGAGGCACAGTGGATTCTGCCTCAGTTGTTTCTTTTTGAATCTCCGCAAACAGGAGCATGTCCCCATCACTTTCTTTTCCTTTCCAAGATTTCCATCAGGGCAAGACATCTGTGAGCCTCCTCCTCCAAATAAGCCTCTGTGGGCCCTGTATAGCACAGAACCCCAAATACTAAGCTTATCCTACAATATCTGTCACC